CCAATTAACGGAAAGATTTTCATAGTCCATGGCGAGGAAGAATACATGGTAAGCCACCTGAAATCTTTCAGGTATGTTGAGATGGACGACGAGTTCATTGAGACCCCCTACCAGAACTTTGAGGAGGTTCCTTAGACAATTGATGTGACCAAAACTACTACTAATGTCTAGAAGATTACCAGACCTCCATTGAAGATGGCTTCTCTGAAGGATGCCAAAGCAGTAGTCGAGGAAGGTGGGTGTACCATTTGGGGCCAACTTTCGGATATCCCGTACAAATCTGACAAGTTTGGTTTGGATTTTACTTCAGGGGCCCAAAGAGTTGTTCGTCGTGCTAGAGCTGGAGGACCACCACTACACATCAGCAACCACGAGATCAATGCTTTGGAGGACAATGACAATGACTGCGACATGGACAAATGGATCTTCCCAACTATCAGCGGTGGACTCGACAATTGGGAGGCCAAGGATTTTGTTCCTATTACTTTTATTCAAGAGTAATTGTCTTTTTGTTTTTTTTGGGAATATGTAATATTTGAACAATTTGAACTCTAAAGTCTTGTGTCTTACCTGAGGCACAATGGTCTGTTTTGTGAGGGTTATTACTTCATCTTCATATGTCATTAATAAATCATTGAAGATTTTGCATACAAATTTTCCGCTCTCTGTCTTTCTTTTCTGATTTTATTTTATCAAAAATAGCTATGCTCTCTTAAACACACCCACATATCAAACTGCAGATCCACATCCACTCGGGATCCCATTGGTAACAGTTCTGCTATTGTCAATTATGACTTTGAAAATACGATCTATCAAGCCGAGGACGAAGGTGAGGAAGATTGCGAAGTACCAGGAGAGCTTTCCAGACTGTTACAAAAGGAGGAAAGGGAAATACAGCCTCATGAAGAGTCGGTTGAGACAAAAAACTTGGGTATTGAAGAGGATAAGAAAGAAGTCAAGATAGGTGCCGATCTGGAGCATAATGTCAAAAAGCGGTTAATTCAGATGTTACATGACTATGTTAAGGTCTTTGCCTGGTCATACAAAGACATGCCAGGGCTGGACACTGATATTGTGGTTCACCGCCTGCCAACAAAAGAAGACTGCCCTTCTGTGAAGCAAAAGGTCTATCGTATGCGACCAGAGATGTCAGAAAAGATCAAAACCTAAGTCAAGAAACAGTTCAACACCAGTTTATTAGACGTTACTTCTTATCCACAATGGGTTGCTAATGTTGATCTGCTACCTAAGAAGGACGATAAAGTACGCATGTGTTTGGATTATATAGACTTAAACAGGGCAAGCCCCAAGGATGACTTTCCGCTTCCCCATATTGATGTTCTGGTTGACAACACAACACAACACAAGATATTCTCCTTCATGGATGGTTTCTCCGGGTATAATCAGATCAAAATGGCACTTGAAGATATGGAGAAAACAACCTTCGTCACATGGTGTGGCACTTTATGCTACAAAGTTATGCCATTTGGGTTAAAGAATGTCGATGCAACCTATCAGCGTGCCATGGTAGCCTTGTTTCACGATATAATCTATCACGAGATAGAGGTCTACATCGATGATATGATAGCCATGTCTCAGGCTGAAGAGGAGCACCTTGATCACCTGCAGAAGCTGTTTGAAAGACTGAAAAAGTACAAATTGAGGCTGAACCCGAATAAGTGGACTTTTGAGGTAAGATCTAGTAAGCTCTTAGGCTTCATTGTCAGCAACAAAGGTATTGAAGTAGACCATGCAAAGGTTAAAGATATACAATAAATGCCAACTCCCCACACTGAGAAGGAGGTTAGGGGATTCTTGGGATGTCTAAACTATATTGCCATATTCATTTCCCATCTAACCGCTACTTGTGAGTCAATCTTCAAATTATTGAAGAAAGATCAAGCAGTGAAGTGGAATGATGATTGCCAGACTGCCTTTGACAAAATCAAGGAATATCTTCAAGAGCCTCCAATTTTGATGTCGCCGGTTGAGGGGAGACCTCTGATCATGTAATTAACAGTGTTAGATAACTCAATGGGGTGTGTGCTAGGGCAGCATGACGAGTATGGTCGAAAAGAGCATGCAATATACTACCTTAGTAAAAAGTTTACCGATTGTGAGACCAGATACTCACTGCTCGAGAAAACTTGTTGCGCTTTGGCATGAGCTGCTCGCTGACTGAGACAATATATGTTAACTCACACTACTTTGTTGATATCTAAAATGGATCCTAGCAAATACATCTTTGAGAAGCCCGCTCTCTCTAGAAGAATAGCAAGATGGCAAATGATCCTGACCGAATATGATATTTACTATACAACCCAGCAAGTAATCAAGGGAAGTGTATTAGCTGATCATTTAGCTCAACAGGATGTGGACGACTACTAATCCATGAATTTTGAGTTCTCGGATGAGAACATCATGTTAGTGATTGATTATGAAGAACCTGGACTGGATGAAGGACCTGAAAAAGGATCCTGATGGACTATGGTTTTTGACAGAGCTTCCAGTGCGCTCGGAAATGGCATCGGTGATGTGATCATTTCTTCCGAAGGCTGTCATACTCCTTTCACTGCCAGGCTATGTTTCAATTGTACCAACAACATGGCTTAATATGAAGCATGCATCATGGGCCTCAAAGCTGCTATCAACTTGAGGATCAAATTCTTTAGTGTATTTAGAGACTCGGCCCTAGTAATCAGTCAAATCAAGGGAGAATGGGACACGAAGCATCCTAATCTCATCCCTTATCGAGAGCATGTGTTGACACTAATTCCACACTTTGAAGAAGTTACCTTTGAGCATTTTCCACGAGAGGAAAATCAACTAGCGGACGCACTAGCTCATATGTCATCCATGTTCAAGGTCAGGTGGGATAATGAAGCTCCTCATATCACTATTGAGAGAATGGACAAACCAGCATACTGTCATGAGATTGATACTGAAGAAGTAGTGGATAAGCTGAAGCTACCAACAGAAAACACAGAGCCGCCACCGAACTTTATTTATCCCGAAGGAAGGAGAAATATCGATAAAACCACAAGGGAATGGATAAGATGGTCTTGCGACCAAGAGAAAGGGTAAGGGAGTCGGTTATGCAAGGGGAAGGTATTAGTACCCCTCGCATCCGTTGTACTCAATGGGATATGTCTTGTTTGTTTGTCTTAAAGGGTGTGTTTATCTACAACTATGCTTGCTTAAGGGGAAATGAAAGGTTTTTGATTATTGCGTTCATGAGGGTTTCGCGACCCTTTGCCTACGTATCTAATGAAGAAATCAGAACACCGTAGTTCCTCTAGAAAATGGTTGGTTTGTTTGTGTTTTTTAGTGGGCGACGTTAACGCACGCATTCTAGAAATAGGCACGGCCGGTATCGCGGTAGAACAGAGATAACATGCCCTTTTGGGGGAGTTTTGATTTGTTGAGTGTTTTGCGGGTTTTAAGATAAATTCAAGTAATGATTAAAGAGTGTTTTTTTTGGATTTTTGGTTTGTTTTGGAAGTTTAATTTTAATTACAAAAGAAGAAGGGGGTAAAGGGGGAAACTGGAAAAAACAAAAGCCCTAATGTTGTCATGCATGGGTTTCATCCTAAGGTCTAATTAGTCCTCATCTTAAAGAAGAAGAAACTAACATCCTAAGGAAGCATGTCATAGGTAAGAGGAGGCGGTGTTTGTGAAGAGTGGTCATGTGTGGTGATCATGGCAAGAGTGAAAAAATGTGTAGTATTAGGAGAGGTGTGAATGAAATGCTTGGGGTATGGGAATTGGATCGGGTTATGATTAACCAAGGGGCATGCTTGGTTAATCTTGTGAGAGTAGGTGCTCCTACCCTCCACTATGAGACCCTTTGTGCATGGCATCACTTGGTATATAGACCACAGTGGTTAATTCGGGTTATGGATAACCAAGGGCAAAACTTGATTAACCTCGTGAGAATGGCCAGGCCCAAACTCAACTATGAGACCCTTTAAGAAGACGCTTGGTACGTGGACCAAGGGGAGAGAAATTGCTTCAGTAGATAAGATAAAAAGCCCATACAAGGTGGTTATATGCATGCTCCTAAAGAGTGGGACTAGCGTGGCGCTAGTATTCTAAACGACCAATTGAAACAATCGATCGAATAGTTGTCACTGTAGAATAGCCCAGGACCAAACTATGAAATGTGTGCGAGTGTGTGTTTTGTCGGTGGATACCTGTTCATTGATGATGAACCCAAGAGGAGGCCAAGTGTTCTTATTTGGACAAAATATGAATGATTAGAAATTTAAACATACAGAGAAAAATAGGAAAAGAACAAAACTCTAAATTATTACAGACCATATGGGGATGGGGGTACAAGTGTTTATGAATGGGGATGAATCGGGTGGATAATACGCTTAATAGTCTAGATAATCAAACAATACAACCCAATTAAAATATTAAACAATTAATTAAATTGAACCATTTTATTCGATACCATTAATTAACCAAATAATTAATGATATTAAATAATATTTTTCAATATAATTAATTTTTGAATCAAAAGTATATTTTTGTATTATTATATATTTTTTTTTTTTTAAATTAAGAAATATTAAAAACAAAAGGAAATTAAAAATCAAAATTCTAATATTTCGTAATTTTATTATGCCAAGAAAATCAAGCAAGAATTTGATTAAAAGAAAATACAAAATTTAAAGAGGAATGTCCAAAAAGGGAAACAGGGGGGTGTATGGAGTAAAACGAGTTGGGCTGGTTTGAAGGAAATTTGGATGGGCTATGAGCCCATATGGTGCATATAAAAAAGTAGGTTAACAAAATAAAATAAAATAAACTGATGGGCCAGACCGGGTCAATGGGGTCTGGACCCAACTCAATCAAAACGAAAGGGTCAGTGAAACCCTTAACCAACGCTTCCTATCCCTTCAAAACAATGACAAAGCCTCTCTCGCCTAACCTCTCAAATTGAGTTCCCAGCTTTCACCATCATCTCTCTCGCGATAAACAAACAACAACAGCAAATGTCAACCTCACATCTTGGACACAGGCACGGTGAAAAGGGTGTAAGCGCAAGCATGCGACCAAAGTCCTAAATCTCGATTAAAACCCGTAATTCCCTCATTCATTGACATCCTCGGATCATTGCCACATGCATACGGAGAGCAGATACAAAAATGAAACAAAAGTATAGAGTAATTCGATGATAGAAGTAAGTTACAAACCTGGTTTTTCTTTCTTCTATTCAGCTTCACTCTTGTGCGAAATTGGCCATTGTTATATCTGTTATGCGTCAACTTTCTATTTCTTGTTGCGCTTTCGTTTCTCAGATCGATGAAATCGATAGTGCTTTCAGGTACGTGTTTTCGACTCTTCTTCTTCTCCGATTCTGTATTTTTTGTCTTTTGTATTGTTGTTTTGTTCAGTGTGTATCACTGTTGTTGCTTGGTGATAGTCGTCGTTGTTGTTTGGTGAGCAGCGTGAGTGAAGACGATGCGATTTTTAGTGGTACGGTTGTGGAGAGTTAATGGCTATTCTGTGCATTTGCATAGAGTTGGTGTTCGTTGAAGGAACATGTTGATTATGGTGAGGATGATGCATGAGGACTGAGTTGAAGTTGGGAGGTTGATGTGCAGTTTTTCTGGTTTGTTGGTTTTGACTGATGCAGTTTTTCTGGTCTGTTGGCTTTGACTGATGCAGTTTTTCTGTTTGTTGGTTTTGGTTTGATGCAGTTCTTCTGTTTGTTGGTCTTGACTGATGCAGTTTTCTGTTTGTTGGTTTTGACTGATGCAGTTTGTTTTTGGTCTGTTGAAGGTTTTTTGTGGTTTTGTTTAAGGGGTTACTGAAGAGAATAGAGAGATATTTGCAGTGTATTAATGGTGACAGATGATTTTGTGGTTTCGTATCTGAATGAACAGGGAGACTGCGGTTATGGTGTTTGCAGGGATTTGAGAGTTGTGTATTAAGCAGAGGTTTAGCAAGCTCTTTGAGGTGACTTTTTTTCAATGATTTTTGTATGTTTGAGCAGAATTTTTAGGGGTGATTTTTTGTTGTATTCTCTTGTTGCTTCGTATCTTCTGCCTATGTTTTTCTGTCTTTGGCTGTTTGTTTTATAACAGCTGAGAGATGGGAGTTGGAGGGAAAGTGTATGAGATTTGAACATTGTTGGAAAGCTGACTTGTGGCTTTAGAATCCAGGTGGCTTTGCCTATTTTTGTGCAATGTTACAGCAGTTTTTTGGACTGTTTTGGGCAAATTTAATGCAGGTTATATCTTTCCTCTTTCTCTCTCAATGATGCCAAGATATTGTGCTTTTTCTTTGAAAATTCTGAAGGGTTTGTCTCTTTTGGAAAATGATGATGCACTAGGGTGTTTGGGCTAATGAGCTTGCACTATTGTTTTGTTTAATATTGCATTTTCTTTGTCATAGTCATGTTGCTGCTGCTTGTTTGCTAGCCTGCTATGCTTGTTGTTTTGGCTTTGCTTGGCCTGCTGGCCTGCTGCTCTTTGCGCTATGCTTTGTTTGCTGTTGTTTGTTCATATTGCAGCCTTGCTTGCTTGGCCTGCTGGCCTGTTGCTCTTTGCGCTATGCTTTATTTGCTGTTACTTTTTTTGTTTGCTGGCCTGCGGCTTTTTCTCATTGGCAATTTTTCTTTTCTCCCTTTTTGTGAACCAAAGAGGACAAATCTTTGTGATTTGCAATTTGGGAGAAAATAAAACATGATAAAAAAATATCTCCCTCTTTAACTGATTCCAAAAGGCAAACCCTTATGATGAGATATCAATCAATTAATTCTTGTTTGAATTTTTTTTTCATGTGTTTGATCGCTAACTTTTCTTTTTCCTTGTTTCATGAGAACGATTATTGGACGGTCCAAAGCGAGATTGAATGTTGAAAATACCATGGCGAGGAGTGAAGATGAAGACTTGAAGATGAAGACTTGAAGAAACACAAATTATTTCTCTCTTTTCTTTGTAAACAAAACGAATGTAATTTGTATTCCAATAATTGTAATTTATGATTTCACATGCTCTGTAATCTGTCCAAAAAATGTAATGAACACGAAAGCTTGAATGCTATATTTTTGAATGAATTCTTTTGTATGGAAATTAAACAACTCTCGATCTTTGATTGAAAATGGCAATTCCTACGTGAATGATTTGAATGCATCCTTTGGACTTTGTAAATTAAACTTCAAGAAATTGTAAGCAATTGTTATAACTTGTATTCCAAACAAATCACGCGCCTTATCTTTCAAAACCCAATCAAACTCTCAAACAAAATAAATGTTTAAGAATTTAATTCGACTGGTTAATTTGAACCCAAAACACCGGTCGCTTGAACCTTGATCTTCATATCATGCCTGAACCACACTCGCACTTCTCGACAAAAAACCTAATTTTTTATATTCACATCGCAAGTAACTTGTAACTTAAGTAACAAAACAAAGTCTTGATCATCATGAACCCTCAACCTCGTTTCTTATGCCCAAACTCCACATTTGTCAATCCAAACTTCAATTTCTCGACTTCATGGCTTAAAGACTTTAAGAAGAAACTTGAAATGCGAAGAGATGAAATTCTTGACCTAATGCATTGAGCTTTGAGCCATCCTCGAGGCAAGCGAAAGAAACATCTTCACAGAAACCAAAAAATCGAAACCCTAGCATCTTGACCAACATCCATAGGGAAATAAACCCTAATCCAGGCTCCGATAAATTGAGCGAGAATCAACCTTGTATCGTGATGACAAAATTTTTTCCACGATCCACTAATCGAGAACCATATGTGCTTCCTTTTTACCTGATAAGAACCTCAAAACTAGATTAGACATAAAGAGGGCGCAACCCTAAAACTTCAAACTAAAGCGCTTGATTCCCTGAGATGCGGTATATGCACATGACTGAATAATAAAATGATGCAAATGAAATGCAAAGTCCAAAGCCAGACAAAAATAAAGAGATAGGGCAAATTTGGGGTACGACAACTGCCCCTATTTAATCGTCTTAAACCTGGATGTGAGATTGGCGTCGACCTTTTGGAAGTTCCAGGTGGAAGATGATTAAATACCAAGACCCGAAATTTTCCCTGGAGAGATAGTGTGAGTTTTATTCATTGGTGTGAATGTCTGTTGGGGAAAGATAAACCGGTCTTCTGGTGAACTGGTCATGAGGGATAAAACATGGTCGAAAAAGGGGAGCTTGTACTGGGGTAATGGTGCCAATACAAGGTTTTTGAGGGAGCAGGTGGTGGAATGACTGAGAGGATATGGCTGACAATGTCGTGATGAATGAAAGTAGAATTACTTGAAAAAATGATAACTTAAATGCAATGAGTAGAACTTGAGGATGACAGAGAATCTATCAAGCGGTACTTCACGACCCAAAAAAGAAATGTAAAGATAATGGGTAAAGATCGTCGTATAATATATGACCCAAGAGAAAGGTAAAGATGATGGGTAAAGATCGGCATATAATCTATGACCCATGAGAAAGATAAAGTGAGGGTAAGACCTACGGAAGACCTACGACCCTAAAAAGATAACGTGAGGGTAAGACCTACGAGCGACCTACGACCCTAGAAAAGATAACGTGAGGGTAAGACCTACGAGCGACCTACGACCTTAGCAAAGATAACGTGAGGGTAAGACCTACGAGTGACCTACGACCCTAAAAAGATAACGTGAGGGTAAGACCTAGGAGCGACCTACGACCCTAGCAAAGATAACGTGAGGGTAAGACCTACGAGCGACCTACGACCCTAGCAAAGATAACATGAGGGTAAGACCTACCAGCGACCTATGACCCTATGAAAGATAGCGTGAGGGTAAGACCTACGAGCGACCTACGACCCTATGAAAGATAGCGTGAAGGTAAGACCTACGAGCGACCTATGGCCCTATAAAAGATAACATGAGGGTAAGACCTACGAGCGACCTACAACCCTATAAAAGATAACGTGAGGGTAAAACCTACGAGCGACCTACGACCCTATAAAAGATAACATGAGGGTAAGACCTACGAGCGACCTACGACCCTATGAAAGATAACATGAGGGTAAGACCTACGAGCGACCTACGACCCTATAAAAGATAACATGAGGGTAAGACCTACGAGCGACCTACGACCCTATAAAAGATAACGTGAGGGTAAGACCTACGAGTGACCTACGACCCTATGAAAGATAACGTGAGTGTAAGACCTACGAGCGACCTACGACCCTATAAAAGATAACGTGAGGGTAAGACCTACGAGCGACCTACGACCCTATGTAAGATAACGTGAGGGTAAGACCTACGAGCGACCTACGACCCTATAAATGATGACGTGAGGGTAAGACCTACGAGCGACCTACGCCCCTATAAAAGATAACATGGGGATAAGACCTACGAGCGACCTACGACCCTATAAAAGATAACGTGAGGGTAAGACCTACGAGCGACCTACGACCCTATGAAAGATAACGTGAGGGTAAGACCTACGAGCGACCTACGACCCTATAAAAGATAACGTGAGGGTAAGACCTACGACCCTATAAAAGATAACGTGAGGGTAAGACCTAAGAGCGACCTACGACCCTATAAAAGATAACATGAGGGTAAGACCTACGAGCGACCTACAACCCTATGAAAGATAATGTGAGTATTGAGAGTTGGGGGAGTACGACGTAATGGCACTATGGTTTATTTTAGTTGGTAATGTAATAACAAATGTTAATTGGGAATTATGAGGATGAAATTCTTTGTGAGGATGTTTTGTTGATTTGGGCATTGATCTGGCTCATGCTTCATATGCATTTGAAGTGTGACATGATGATCCATGGACATGTTGTGCGTTTGAGGATGCAATGTAATATGTCATGATGATTATTGTATGAAAAATGTCAAAAACTCATTAGGATCTGTTGTCCGTCATCTCGAGGTACCAATATGGACTGGTGCTTGAAAACTGTGAGAATTGAGTTAGCCTTGTCGAGTTCACTGGGGAATTGAATCTTGCTGAGGAGAAATGACTTGATCTGACTTCCTTCATGTGTTGGACTTCTTGTGGATGACTGAATCAAATGCCCCAAGTTTTCTCTATTGCCAGGGAGGAAAGGGCCCTGTCTGACTTTCCTTACTTCACGAACCACTTGGGGATTAGGAAATGGACATTAGTGTCTTCAGATGCCCCGAGTTCACTTCATTGCTGGAGAGTTGCATGTTTAAACATCTGCAGGGAATGATGATGATTCCGAGGACGTTAACTGAACCAAAGTGAACATCATGACGCTTTTAGCTTGATTGAATTTGTACGGATGACAGGAATTTGCTTGAGTAGCTCCATAAGAGGGGAAGAGGAATGCCCCTGTCTTCAAGGGTCTCTTTGAGTGGAATGCTGGAAGATTCGTGTCATAATACGGTGTAAAGTGGCGTGCCCTAATATCTGCCTCTGATCATGGATTTTTGTAGAGATTTGTTGAATCTCGACGTAACTTCCCCAGGTTGCACAAATTTTGAATAGGTTACTCAGCCTGATTCCCCCAGTTTGAATTTTAAAGAGATTTATCGACATGATTGCTTCTGATCGACTGGAAAAATATATGAAGAGATTTATCGATGTGATAGCCTATGATTGGTAGCTTGAGGAAATGCCCCAGAATAAGATCAATCTTTGTTTTGACAAGTTTCTGCAGCAATTCGTCCTTTCGAGATGACCGTGTTTTCAATTGATGCTCATCACGCAAGCTTACTTGATATTCAAGAACTTATTTATATGCAACGAATGTTTGTCTAAGAATGATGAATCTAATGCGAATTCTATGTTTGTCTTGAAGTTCGAAAAAATTTCATTGAAATGATGTCGAAGCATCATTTTTTTTATGAATAGGTGACGTGTTACCAAATCAAATTTTAGTACATCCCTGAGGAGTCAGGTTTCCGTATTCTCTCTACAGTATTGCTTTTGAATTAATCCATGCTTCAGTTAGGACTTTTAAGGGTTGTAATGTGGTCTGG